ATGGCCAACCTCACAAGAATCCACATTCATAAGGGCCAGCGAAGTTTGCATAGCTGGTGTGGTGTGATAGAAGCAGTCTTTACGCAATTTTTTTGGTGGAAATTACGAAAAGGGAATAAATAGTGTTTCTTTAATTGCCTGCCTTTGTTTTGCTTCAGTCAATTCATCTCTAACTAACCATGCCTACAACATATTCATCATGATTTATCAGCCATTTCGTTATTATTAATTGTATAGGGCCTAGACTTGAAGTGATAATTGTGAAAAATAGTGTGAATCGACTTGATTACCTTGTAAGAGTAACTATTCGAGAGAACTAATTTACCCTTTGTAGACATCAAATTTGTCCCACCTTGATCAAATTTATTATTTTTATTAAATAATATATATTAATAGGATAATAATATCATTATTAAATACAATAATAAAAATTAAACAAAATATAAAAAAATGAAAAAAAAAACAAATAAAAAAATACAATAGAAGGAAGAAACAAAGGAAATGGGGCTGGTGCCTGGTGCTGTGCACAGCACCACTAGCACCACCGCCTATGCTAGGATGCGAGGCCCTGTGCCACTTACTTAGGCACGAGCCAAGACTAGACAATACAAAATAATGAGGCAAAAAGAGAGCTAGTGCTTTAGGTGCCATATACGGCACCCCTCCCTCTGCCAAGCTAGGCACGGGGCATGGTCATAGCTCTATAAATAAAGCTCCGTGCCAGGCCAAAAAGAGAAGAGGAGATCTTGCAAAAAAAAAAAGTTTCCAAAATAAAAAAAAAACTTCTTGCCAAAAAAAAAACCATTCAAACAAAAATCACAGTCATCGCCAAATTGGCGAGGAACCCAACGCCAAGCAAAACCTGCAAAAATAAAAAAAAATAGTTAGTTTTAGTTAAAAAAAAAAAAGAGGGTTTGGCCAAAGCTTTGAAAGCCGATCTAGGTCGTTTGAGGTATTTTCACGTGAAACCAAGCTCAAATCTATACTTAGGGGAAAAGAAAAAATTTTTTAAGAATTTTTAAGATTTTTTGGAAACCAACGACAGCGCCGACGACCGACGATCAGTGGCCAGTGATCAGTCGACCAATCTAGAGAGAGAAGCTCTCTGAGAGGGAGAGGTGTAGAGAAAGAAAGGGAGAAGAGAAAAATAAGAGAAATTTTTTTTGGCATTTATAGAAAGTCAAAATGATGCCGTTTCATTAAAAGCCTAAAACAAAGTCGTTTTAACATCAAGAGGATTCGCGCGTCAGCCCTAACTCGACCCAAGATCCGCGCACCCGACCTGCAACCCGCTTCTGCCCTTAAACTCAGATCGATCTGGATCGACCCCGAATCGTTGAACCGACCCAGACTGCCGAACTGTCCGGATCAACGTTGACCAGTCCGATTTAGGTGATTTTTTTTAATTTTTTTGATTTTTTTAAAATATTATTTTTTTGATTTTTAATTTTATTATTAATATTTATGCATATTAAAATGTTTAAATTTGCTAGAATAAAATTTTGTTGTTTTATAATAATAATTAATAAAAATAAATAATGAAATATGTAGTAAAAATTTGTGATAATTTTGCTATTTTAAAAATAAATCTTATATAATAATATAAATTAATAAAAAATGTAAAAAAAAAAAATTTTATCCGATGATGAGATTCAAAAGTACTCCGAGTAGTGATATTTACGAAATCTCTATGTGAGAAGATTTTTTTTAAATATTATCAGTATATTGGAGTATTTATAAAAAATTTTTAATACAATGAAAATTTTCTTTTCTTGGTTATGAAAGAGTAAATAAAAATTAATTAATAAATTAAGAATAAGTAATAAAAAATGAAGAAAAAAGAAATTTTATCCAATGATGGGATTCTAAAAGTATTCCGAGTAGAGATGCTTTAAAAAATCCCTAGACGAGAAGATTTTTTTAAAATATTATTAGTGTATTAAATATTTATAGAAAATCTTCAATATAATAAAATTTTCTTTTTTTTTTCATTTTTTAAATGAAAATATGATAAAAATTAATTAAAATTAATAAAATTTTTAAATAAAAAATAAAATGTGTGCATTAACATATTATCATTTGTACTACATGCATGGTATAGTTTTTTTAAAAAATAAATTTAAACATCCGAAGATGAGATTCTAAGGTATTCCGAGAAGCGATGCCTAAGAAATCTCTATGTGAGAAAGAGTTCTTCTAATGTTACCGATGTATTGAAATATTTTAAGAATTATTTCAATAAAATGATTCTAATTTATTTTTCTTGAATAAAATTTGAACACTAAAAAATAATAAAATAAAGATTAAAAAAAATTTCCAATAAATAAAAAATAAGAAAATTATTTTTTAAACATCGAAATAAGACTGTTTTTATCAAAATTAATGGATAACACATAGTTAATTGATACCGTTTTTAAATGGGTGTTGTGGTGGTGCTAATCCTTTCCCATATGTAACTGACTCCCGAACCAAAACTGTTTCGTAAACCATAAAATTATCTTTTTAATAAATTTTAAATAATTTTAAAATCTTATTAAAAGATAAATTTTAATAGATGGCCAATCACACCTAGCAAAAAAAGATTGGTGGTGACTCTTTTTCTTTTTATTTTCGTTTTTAACTTCATCGGGTGGCTTCTAAGCCTTGACAACAACTCGGTGACTCCGTTATAGATACCATTCGAGAGTCAAGCCAAAATTAACTGTGTTATCCTTAAATTTGGATTTAAAATAATCTTAATTATTTTTTAAAATTTTTATTTTTTTACTTTCAATAAGAAAAAAGTAAAAAAAAAAAACAAATCGAAAACAAAAAGAAAATTTCACACATGTTTCTTTTACTATGCCTCTTATGCTTTATTTTTTTGTATATATTACTCTTGATAAATTAGGAAACATATAGACACACAATGACACAATGCATCTTATGCATGAGCTCTATACATGCAGAGAGGGAGCTAGTGCTTGGGGTGTCGTACATGGCACCCCTCCCTTTGCCAAGCCAGGCATGGGGCATGGCCAGAGCTCTATGCCAGACCAAAAATAGAAGAGGAGATCCTGCAAAAAAAAGTTTTCAGAATAAAAAAAATCTTTCTACAAAAAAAAAAACCATTCAAACAAAAATCACAGTCTTCGCCTATTTGGCGAGGAACCTAGTGCCAAGCAAAACCTGCAAAAATAAAAAAAATATAATTAGTTTTAGTTAAAAAAAAAAAAGAGAAAGGGTTTGACCGAAGCTTTAAAAGTCGATCTAGGCCGTTTAAGATATTTTCATGTGAAACCAAGCTCAGATCTGTGCTCAGAGGGAAAGAGGAATTTTTTAAGAATTTTTAAGATTTTTCGATAACCGATGACGGCACCAACGATTGACGATCGACGACTGACATGGAGGTAAGTGATTGACTGATCGATCTAAAGAGAAAAAGCTCTTTGAGATGGAGAGGTGTAGAGAGAAAGAGGGAGAAGAGAAAATGAGAGAAATGTTTTTGGCTTTTATAGAAAGCTGAAAGCCAAAACGACGTCGTTTCATTAAAGGCCTAAAACGACATCGTTTTGACACCAAGAAGATCCATGCATTAGCCTTGACCTGACCCAGGATTTATGCACCTGAACCCACAACCCGCCTCTGCCCCACACCCAGATTGATCTAGCTAAATCGACCCAGACTAAGCTAGACCAACCCCGAACTGCTGAACAAACCCAGACTATCGAACCACTCGGACCAACGTTGACCGGAACAGTTGACCGGTCCGATTCAAGTGAATTTTTTTTAGAATTTTTTTGATTTTTTTAAAATGTTATTTTTGTTATTTTAAATTTTATTATTAATATTTATGCATATTAAAATGTTTAAATTTGCTGAATAAATTTTTGTTGTTTTATAATAATAATTAATAAAAATAAATAATGAAATATATAGTGAAAATTTGTGATAATTTTACTTTTTTAAAAATAAATCTTATATAATAATATAAATTAATAAAAATGTAATAAATAAAATTTTTTATCTGAGTATGAGATTCAAAGGTACTCCGAGTAGTGATACCTACGAAATCTCTATGTGAGAAGATTTTTTTAAATACTACTAGTGTACTGAAGTCTTTATAAAAAATTTTTAATATAATGAAAATTTCTTTTCTTGGTTATAAAATAGTAAAAAAAATTAATTAATAAATTAAGAATAATTAATAAAAATAAGAAAAAAAGAAATTTTATCCGATAATGGGATTCTAAAAGTATTTCGAGTAGAGATGCTTTAAGAAATCCCTAGGTGAAAAGATTTTTTTTAAATATTATCAATGTATTGAAATATTTATAGAAAATCTTCAATATATAAAATTTCCTCTTTTTTTCATTTTCTAAATGAAAATAATGATAAAAATTAAATAAAATTAATAAAATTTCTAAATAAAAAATAAAATGTGTGCATTAACATATTATCATTTGCATTGCATGCATAGCATAATTTTTTTAAAAAATAAATTTGAGCCTTCGAATATGAGATTCTAAGGTATTTCGAGAAACGATACCTAAAAATCTTTATGTGAGAAAGAGTTCTTCTAATGTTACCGATATATTAAAACATTTTAATAATTATTTTGATAAAAGGGTTCTAATTTATTTTTCTTGGATAAAATTTGAACACTAAAAAATAATAAAATAAAGATTAAAAAAAACAATTTCTAATAAATAAAAAACAAGAAAATTATTTTTCAAACATCTAAATAAGACTGTTTTATAAAAATCAATGGATAACACATAGTTAATTTGTATCATTTTTAAACGGATATTGTGGAGGTGTTAATCATTCTTTACATGTAATTGACTCTTAAACTCAAATTATTTCACAGATCATAAAATTATTGTTTTAATAAATTTTAATTAATTTTAAAATTTTAGTAAAAAAATAAATTTTAATAAATAACTAATCATATCTAACAAAAAAAAAAAAATTGATAGTAACTTTTTATTTATTTATTTTGTTTTCAACTTTATCGGACGGACTCCTAAACCATTACAACACCCTCAAACTTGGTGCCAAATGATTTATCAATCTTCTTGTAATCATCCTCATACAATACAGCGACCTACAGCAAATTAAAGTCATGTCAGGAAATTTGTAAGAAAGAGTCCCAAAACAATGCCGTATAGAGTTAGAGCTTCAAATTTCCTTAGGCAGGCGAAAAAGAGAAAAATTAGGCCTAGTTGGTCTGTTTTTGGGACCACCTAAGGAGATGTCCTAGTACCTGAATGCCCTTCTGGCATAGGGCAAAGGCAACAGCATAAGAAACTTTAGTTAGGTTGCCTCTAAGGAGTACTTGGGTTGTTCCCTCTGGTATGCTATTTAGCAGAACTGCCACAGCCAAGCTACTCCCATCTACCAACTTCACTTTAAGCTGGGGATGCTTGTGCACATACAGCCCACCATACCTATTCAGCTCTTCACCCTACACATTTTACCACAAAGTTTTCTGTTAGAAAAGTTTTTAAGTTTCATTTTTTTTAAAAAGTAATTATCCTGAAAGTAGTACTTTGTTTACTAACTGCTTATGAGCTATGGGAAGAGGGGAAAAACTTTGCCTGATTCATGAGGCCTAGACTCAACACAGTAGCACCTTTTTCCTCTGCCTCTAATATGGCTTCATCAATCAGGCTATTGATGGATTCTTTTTGCCATTGCAAGCGGTACTGCAAATTAACGGCAATGTCAACCGTAAAGATTATACATATACGTATGTATGGTTATACTAGTTATGATGAATTAGACAAGAAATAGTTTCGACTAAATTTTGACTTGTATTTGGTTGCATTGCACCACCTTGCAACTGCAGCATTTTTTTTTTTTGAGGAAATAAAATAAATAAAGCCTCCTTACCTGTATTTTGTATTTGGGTATGGCCCAGATCTGTAGTCTGATTTTATCAAATTGATTCCTTTCAACAACGAAAGTGCGACAATAAATCCAGGTAAGCATCATGGACGACAATGTAACAGGCCAGAGCAGCCAGAAGTACCAAGAAGATGAGTATGGTTTAGAGGCCAAGGAGGCAAATCCAACGCGGAGATGATAGATTGACTCAGGTGTGGTTAGGTGCGTTAGATGCACCACGTTGGGTGATTTTTCTTTTCTTTTGAGTGAATTTTCATACAAGGTATCAGAAGATATGTACATTGTGCCATAGATGTAATCATAGATTGGCATAAACAGCGAGTAGTTGGTTCTGAACTGTGTGTGGTTCAGCGAGTGAAACCTGCCATTGACAAATATTTTAGTGTGTCAATGATAAGTAGACATTTTAGTACTATAATATGCTTAGAAAACGTGCTAAGGATATAAAGCTGTAACTGTAAGCATATTGGTTTATGATAATTAATACAATTACTTTATCAGTTAGGAGAATGAGAAATTCGTGAAGATTTTCAACTGTCCAGGAGACAAACGAAAATGACGAGGCGACAAACAAGACTGATTGAGGAGTAATTAATGAAAGGACAACGAAGAAAAGCGGATGAGAGATTAGTTGTGAAATAAGACACATGGCAATTGAATGCAAACCAAGTGTTCAATGCCAGAACTTGAATTGGAGTGTTAAATTATTACGCCGAAAGCGACCTTGAATGTCAAAAGCTGTTAGACGGTTGTTCAAAAGTGCTTAACTGTTTTGAAACATAGCTAACACATATCTTTGTACTAATAAATAATCCTACTAATCACTGGGCTCCAATCAGCAACATGATGAAATATCTACGTTCCACATGCAGTCAAACTAGTTAGCTGAGAGCCTGAGCCTGAGCCTGAGACTGAGAGAGGCCTTGGGATGAGCAATGAACATTGAGCACAGCTATTTACTACGACTACCGACTAACTTGGAGGATAGCAGACAGCAAGGCCCACAGCCCTCTCATTTTTTTAAAACTCCTTAGTCTCCTTCTTGGCGTTAAATATATGGTTACTAGTATTCCTGTTCCTATGGCAAGGCAGATTTCAATCATAATTGAATATAGAAACTAGAAAAGTTTATCAACGCCAAGTAAAAAGGTTCGAGTAGCGTTAATTGATGATTTTATTGTAGATAGAGAAACACGGGCCATTGGATCGGGGAGTGGTGAAAGCAGTAGTAAACTGTAAAAGAAACTAGGGCAGACAGTAATAGGTAGGTCTTCTCCAGAGTTACCCTTTCCTTGGCACTAATAATATTGTTGTACTTAAAGCATCCAAATTAAAGAATAAAGAGCTTTGAAAATGAAATACTTGTGTAAGCAAGGTTTTTTTTTTTTTAATTTAAAGAGAGACTTACGAAGGAGTGTACATGAGGTACTTGAGAGGGGGGAAAAAGGAGAAGACCTGGTTGGGAATGAGCTCGAAGTTGCGGTGGCCTATGTTGTTCATCATGTGGACGTAAGTGATGTAGGCAGCAAAGGCGACGATGGACCCAGCTCCATTGAGCAACATTGTGAACAATGGTATTGCAAACAGGGCGACGTATGCTATGTGCTCTGCAAATGGATGAACCACAGCTGCCACAGCCAGAGCCATCATTCTTAATTACTAGTTGCCTGTCAGAACCGGATCGACTGAACTTTGCTTTCTTAATTTACGTAACATATATAAGAAAATTATTAACAGCAATTACTAAGTAGAATTTCCCCCTAATTACATGTAGATTAAATATTATATATTGCAGGTAGATCTCATCTCAGAATATACAGGACTTTCTTTCTTTCTTTATTTCTTTCATTCTATATCACAATTACAGTCACAAGCAGAAGGAGAAGATGCACGTTTCATCACCTACCCCCGGTATACGTGTTGTTTCTTACTAGTATAAATATATTTATATGTAAATTGTAACCAAGGTATATATTCTGAATGTGAGGTCCGGGGCGGAGTAATTAATAATAGTATGGAAAGCATTTCATGTTATTATATACATAATGGTTTGCTTTGAAGTTTAAACTGTTTGTTAGCCCCAAAACAGAATACCTTAGGTGGTGCCACTTTGCTTTTAATTTGCCCGCTTTTAATTTCTATTGAATTTGCTTAGACTAGTTCTATGTGGCAAAGGGGCTAACTGCCTGACTTAACCAAACAATTAATGGAACTTATACTACATACTATGCGCTATATAGAAAGATAAATTAATAAATAACACAACAGCAAAGGAAGAATTAATTCATTCTGTAAATATTACCATCACTCAATATTTTATCTCCATTTAATACGGTGCTTGCATCATGACTCGTCAAAGTTCTTCATCAATTTTTATTTTTTAAAAATTCCTTTTGTTTAAATTGTTTTTCCACATTTGATTTTTTAAAATTTTGGTTGTTGTTGTTCTTAAAAAAGACTGCTATCAAATTAAACACACACACGCACACACGCGACTACTCGTATTGTTTATGATTGTTATTTTCTTGTAATATCAGGTGAAAATAATCATTTTAAAAACCAAAATTTAAGTTGATGTGATATTTTAAAAAATTTAAAATTAAAAAGAGAGAGAGAGAGAGAGAGAGAGAGAGAGAGAGAGAGAGAGAGAGAGATTAAATTGGCAAAAAATGGATGTGGGATATGAAGCTGATCAGTTGGGTCTTACAAGTAATAGGCTCCGTGCCAATGGAGGAATGGTGATGAGAATGGTAGCGAGAGTAAAGATAATGGTGGTGCAGCGCTCTATGAAGCCAGTAGTAAAGGAACTCCACGGGGCCCGCATGGAGCAACACGGTTATAATCAAACCGTCCATTCTCCAAAAGGGTAAGTGGGAAGCTCCACGAACATATTTGCTCCCTAGGTAAAACAGGATTGCATTGAACAAAATTTGATCGTCCCTGCCCAAAACAGAACTCCCCTAGATCACTGAATTTGCAAATTAAAAGAAGAAACCGAAGGTTACAATGAACTAATAACGAGTGAGGTAAATATGGGGTGTAGACATCTGCTCTTATCATTACATTACATTAAATGTTCCTAATAATAATTTTATTAATTTTTGTCACTGACCAGTTCCTTTCCCTGTCGACTTGGTCAAATTCAATACCCTTGTCGACAATCCTGTTGCTGCCTTTGGCATTTCGATAACGAGAAAGGCTAATCCAGAGCTGGTTTTGAAGCATTCTCAATAACATGAATGGGAATATGACAAAGTTGGAAACGTCCCTCTCCTTTTCATCCTTTACTACAAACGAGTAAATGCTCTCCGTAAGCCAAGGAACCAGGATTATGTACCGTAAAAATCCATCGAACAACAAAACTAAAGAGTTAGTTAGAGGCCAAAGATGAAACAAGCACATATCTATCCATGCATCTTGCATGAAAACGAGACTTATGAGAATTAAGGATATATATGAAAGGAAAATTAAAAGTTAAGGATCCAGACCTTAAAGCTTCCAAGAGGCGTCCATGGCCAGTCAGTCAGAATTCCTGGTTTAGATGCCATGCTCAACTTGCTAACTTCTGTTAGTAGATTTAAGAAAAACAGAAATTGTAAGAAAGAAGAAAATATGGCTTTGAGATGTGAATAACATTGTCTTAAAGACAATTATGCCTATAGGATACAACAAAACTTTAAAACTCTCTAAATCAGAAGTAGTGAAATTGATCAGACAGAAAATCTATTTATAATAAATGAACAGTCATTAATCAAACAAATTCAAAAAGTCATGACATTTTGTATAGTCATATTTTATTGTTTAAATAAACTTTATTTAAACAATCATGTCTTTTACTGTTCAAGCATATTTATTTGGAATCAATAATATTTCAAAACAAATAAATATAATAATAAAGATTTAAAAATTAAATCTATTTGCCAAACAAGCCCAAGTGCCCAAGTGCCCAAGTGCCTATATTTGACTTTTAAAATTGTCCAACCCACTAGGTAAACTCCTAGCAAGCCCAAATGACTTGGTCCACTCCAACACTTAGCTCAATTACTTAAATAATATAAGTAATTTCTTTTAAACCATTTATAAGTGATCTTTCTACTCAATGTGAGATACACCACATTCTAAACTACCAACAATCCCCTACTAGTTTGGAATGTTGGTGCTTAATCTTTAACCTTTCACACAAATAAATATTATGAATACAAGAAGGTATCTTTTGATTTAAACCTTCAATTAGCGTATATAACTTAGAATTCTAAAAAAGTTTATGGTGTTCGCAGATTAAATCTCAACTTCTAATGTTAAAATTGAAGATATAACACACATAATATTTATTTAATATTTTGTTAGAGGTTTATAATCGCTTTAGCACTATTATGGCCATGTGCTTATCCTTATTCATAGACATTTACAAGAAAGTTTTCAATTTTTTTGTTGAAGCGGCACCACTTCTATGTTTATATAGGTGGAGTTTCTTATTTATGTCTCCATTGCTATAGACATTTAATTATTAACTCCATTAAGAGTTCAATCTCATCCTCCATTTACGTAATGGCTTACACTAGTATTCCAAATATATAGAATGGGTTGACTAGTGTTTACAGACACATAACAATAATTTGTTATTACCTATTAAACTTTGCAATTAGAGGTTACTAATTCAAAGTTAGGTTCCCATTATTAGTGTCTAAAAGGATTTTTTAAACCCATTCCACTTGTGGTGCTTCTTACCAAATTTTTAGGTAGCATCTTGGTAAGCGGATCTGCTAAGTTTTTGGCAGATTTAACATATATGATGGTAATTACCCCATTTTTTTTTATCAATTTTCTGATATAATCATATCTTAGACTAATATGTCTAGATTTTCCATTATAAATTTCACTATAAGCTCTAGACATAGTAGCTTCACTATCACAGTACAAGGAAATGGCTGTCATTGGTTGTGGCCACAACTCTATATCCATTAATAAATTTCTTAGCCATTCAGCTTCCTTGCCTGCTGCAGCTAAAGCTATAAATTTAGATTCCATAGTTGAATGTGAAATGCAAGTTTGTTTCTTGGATGCCTAACTAATTGCACCACCTCCAAGGGTAAACATCCATCCTGAAGTGGATTTATTGTCACTTATACTAGTGATTCAACTTGCATCTGAATATCCTTCCAAAACAGCCAGATCTCCGAAATAAAATAAGCCAAAATCTTTAGTTCTTTTAAGATAACCTAGAACTCTTCCTATGGCTTTCCAATGACTTATACTAGGCTTACTTGTATATCTCGATAACTTGCAAATAGCAAAAGCTATATCTGGCCTAGTACAATGCATAGCATACATAATACTTCCAATAGCACTAGCATATTCAAGTTGCGCAATTACAATATCTTGATTTTCTGTTAATTTTATATTTGTATCATATGGAGTATTGGTTTCTTTTATATTGAGATACTTAAACTTATTAAGCAGTTTCTCAATATAATAACTTTGATTAAGAATGAAACCCTTATTATATCTCTTAACTTTAATTTCCAAAATGGTATCAACTTCATTTAAATCTTTCATTTTGAAAGTAAAAAATCAGATACCTTTTGGTTTCATTCATGCCAATCATATTAGTACAAAAAATTAGCATATCATCCACATAGAGACATATTATAACACCATATTCTTTAGTAAATTTTGAGTAAATGCACTTATCTGCTCCATTATGTTTAAAACCATTGGCTATTATGATTGAATCAAACTTTTCATGCCATTGTTTAAGAGCTTGCTTTAGCCCATAAAGTGACTTAATTAATTTACAAACTTTATTCTTATTACCTAGAAGAATAAAACCTTCTGGTTGTTTCATGTATATTTCTTCCTTTAAGTCACCATTTAAAAAGGCTATTTTAACATCCATTTGATGCACATGCAGTTTATGAATGGAAGCCAAAGCTATAAGAACTCTAATGGATGTTATTCTAGCTACTGGAGCATATGTATCAAAATAATCTATGCCTTCTTTTGTTTAAAACCTTTTGCAACTAATCTTGCTTTAAAGGTTTGTATAGAACCATCTGTATTATATTTCTTTCTAAACACCCATTTACATCCTATAGGTTTAGAACCTGGAGGTAAATCTACCAAGACCCATGTATTATTGGACATGATTGAGTCTATTTCATTATTAATAGCTTCTTTCCAAAAGGCAATATCTCTTGAAATCATAGCTTCATTAAATATTTTAGGGTCTTCATCTACATTTAGTAGAATTGGTGTTTTCTTAAGCACTTTGGTTCTATTCCCTTCTACTAGGAATACTATAGAATCTGAAAAAACAAAATCAGAAAGCAAAAGATTATCTTTTCTAACTCTTTTGCTCCTTCTAATTTCAACAGAATCATTACTTTTTTTATTTTTTTTTTTCATTCGTAGGAATCATTTCAATTTGTTTCTCCATATCAATTTTGGTATCACATATAAATTTATTTTCAAAAAATTCTACATGAATAGATTCAACAATAACATTAGTATTTAAATCAAGAAGTCTATATGCTTTTGAATTCTGTGCATAACCGACAAAAATACTTTTAATACCTCTAGGTCTTAATTTTGATTTATGAGGATGAGGTATTTTATAAAAGGCAATGCACCCCCACACTTTAAAATAATCCAAATTTGGTTTTCTGCCATGATTTCAAAGTTCATATGGTGTCTTTAAGAATTTCTTTGAAAAAATTCTATTATATATGTGGCAGGTTGTTAAAAGTGCCTCTCTCCAAAGATTTAGAGATAATTTAGCATTTAACAACATACTATTTACCATATCAACCAAGGTTCTATTTTTCTTTCGACTAAACCATTTTGTTGGGTGCATAAGGGGCTGTCCTTTGATGAATAATTCCATTACCTTCACAAAAAAGAGAAAATGAATCTGGAAAATATTCGCCACCCCTATCTGTTCGAAGAATTTTGATTTTCTTCTCTTTTTGATTTTCAACAACTGATTTATATTCTGTGAATTTATCAAAGGCTTCATCTTTTGTTTTTATTAGATACACAAAAGTATAACGAGAACTATAATCTATAAATATTATAAAATACTTTTTTCTCTCCTTGTTAATAAACCATTTAGCTCACAAATATCAGAATGTATAAGTTCTAATAATTCTATATTTCTTTCAGCTTTAGGAAAAAGTTTCTTAGTCATTTTTTATTTGACACAGATTTCACATTTAATGTCATGATTTTTTCGGTATGTTATATAACCATGCTTAGTCCTATGATTCGTATAATGATAATTTAAATGTCCTAATCTAGCATGCCATAAAGAAGAAGAATGTTCAACAATATAAGCAGAAACATTATTTATTTCATCAATGCCTAGTTTAAACATACCATCATTGGAATATCCTTTTCCAATGAATACACCATTTTTAGAGACTATAACTTTATCAGACTCTAGTATAATCTTAAAGCCTTTTTTACATAATAGATTTGCAGATACAAAGTTCTTTCTAATCTCAAGAACATGAAAAACATTAATTAAAGTTAGTTTCTGTCTTGAGGTAAATTTCAATTGAACCATTCCTTTTCCAATCACTTTAGCAGAAACATGATTTTCTGTAAGGATGTTTTTGGTTTCTTGTATTCTTCATAAGTCTTGAACTGCTTTTTGTTGTTGCAAACATGAATTGTTGCACTAGAATCTAGCCACCAATCAGATGACTTATTTGTAGTAGCCATATGAACTTCGGTGATCATTCCAATTTGCATGTCAGTCACCATTGCAACAAGTTCATTAATTTCTTGCTCAACCAGATTTACCTTGCTTTCAGAACTAGAACCAATCTTAATTCCATTGTTTTTAAATCTGAAATCTTTAATCAAATGTCCTTTCTTTCCGCAATGGAAACACATTTTGTTCTTGTTAAATTTGGACTTCTTAAATCCATTCTTTTTTACTTTAAAATTGTTTTGAAATTTACCAAAAGACTTGTGACTTTTTTCCAGAATTTTGTCCACTAACGTAATTCACGTTGGAACCTCCAAGGAAGAGTGCATTTCTTGCATGATTTTCTACTTCAATCTGTATGTGAGTTTGAAATTCTTCAATAGTGAAAGTATTTGTTGAATACAGAACTTTCTTCCTATATCTATTCCATGAAGGAGGAAGTTTTGACAAAATAAGCTCCAACTTGAAGTGAATCAGGAACTTTAATTTCCAGCTCACTTAACTTAGAGACCAGAATTTGCAACTTGTGCACTTGGTCCATGATTGGTTTATCATCAGTTATTGAAAATTCAAAGTATTTCAAAGCCAAAAACTTATCCGTACCTTTCTTTTCGTTCATGTATTTGTGCTCAAGAGCAGTCCATATCTCTTTTTGGTGTTTTCATATTTCTATATAGGTCATATAGACGGTCAGATAATGAATTCAAAATATAACATTGACAGACTAGTTCATCTTCTTCACGTTTGCTTCTTGTTGCCTTAATAGTATCAGAATCTTCAGGAGTTGGTTTTGGAATTGGTTCCAAATTTGGATCAAGTACATAAAACATCTTCAAT